CAGAAAAGCATGATTGAACATGTTGAAGAATACACCGTCTTACGTACTATAGAATAAGGAGATGTAGTAACTGCAAATGATACAACTAACTATCCATCAGATTTGAAATGACGTGGATTTATTTAGGAACCATAGGTCACCATAGGCTTTCAGCAATGAGCTAAAACCGAACCGTAGACTCAGCCTTAAAGGGTACCGATAAGACATAATGTGGAATAATTAAGAATGAATAAGACAAAAACAAATTGATAATTTAATTGTGACTAAAAGCTGAGGCATCTAACAATCAGAAGATTCATTTGATGACATAGGAGAAACACAAATTATGTTTACTAAAAATAATACACATAACATCTACTCTACAATGCATTTAATTACATTAGAGAAAATAAGAATAAAGTTGCTTAGAATCTTACACGAAACATCAACTTTAAAAGTCATTTGACGACATAGGAGAAAAAAAGAAAAGTAATAACTCCTGTCCATCTAGAAAATACGCTTACACGCTATCTTTTAATGTTTCACTGTGTTCCAAGGCTCCTGGAAAAAAAAGTTTAAAAAAATTATAGACAATGAAATGCCTCCCGTTGTCTTTGAAGTCTAATTTAATTTCACAATGAATGTGGACATGTATTACAAAACAAGATGTTTGTCTATTATACATATATTCCTAAGGTTAAAGCAAGTATATATGTATTTGCTCTAGAAAGAATCTACTTGATGTAATTACTACTTATAAGTAATATTTATTTATTCCCAATCAAGGTTTTCAATTATTTCATTGTGGAAAGATACATGTATTTTTTTGGTATATCAATTTTTTTTCTTTCGTTTTTTTTTTCATTAATGCAAAAAGCCTGAAGACCTTAAACAAGGTTGTAAGAGGACATGAAAAATTTCAACAGATTTATTTTTTGGTAGCAAAAACTAATGCTAACCGCCGAGCTACTCATGTCAAGCCTGTAAATTTTTTCATATGAATTGATAAAGACTTAATTAAAAGCGCGGTCTTAAATGTTCATGAAATAATATGAAGATTAGGAGACCACCTTTATTTCAATTTCCTTATTTCCTTTCTTGTTCTTTTATAATTACCTTTAATTCAACAGCATAATAACAAAAAGTAAACAAGCAACAACTATATATTAAGCAATTTTCCTGAAAAAAAAAAGATTGGATACAAACATAGAAAAGCAACATATATTTAGGGTCATTTGCGAAATTGAAATAAATAAGAGTTATCTCCCGTTAACCGATTCCAATACGTTAAAATCGTTAGAGGAATACATCCTTTATAATATTTTTTCTTCACATAATCACTGTAATAATATGAATTTTTGCTTTGTTTTAATGAATTAATCAACGATTGATATTACTTCAATTAGAAACATCTTTTTAAATTCTTATATGAAGTATTTCCTAAAAACGAATGTTTATTCGTTCAACTAAGTAGAAATCGCAAAAGTAAATGAACGCAATAACTTATGAAGTCAAATTACTTGAATATTTGTGATTTAAATTCAAAACATACATTTTAAATTATCTATAATTCGGTATGCTCAATTACAGTAATAAGACTACTTTTCTAAATACAACCGTTATGTTGAGACGCAATCGAATTAAAACTTATGTACGAATAGATTAAGTTATGGGGTATACGCATGCTTAAGTGATACAGCACAGAGATCAAAAGACTATCTGTAGGTCAACGTTTCATAAATAAGACAATTGTGCAAACAATATATCAAGATCAAATTTGCTTAGAATATAGCGAAGTTACTAATTAATTTAATTAAGATACTATCAAATATTTGCCTTAGGATCATACGATGCAATAGCAGAGGTATATAATAATTCAGCAAAGTTTATTGCAGTTTTTATTTCAGCAACTTTGCTTATAATATGCATTCGAATTTCCCGAAAAAACACTGGGTCCATCAAATGAGTCTCCTTAACTTAATTGTAACCTAAAAGCATAACAGAGATGATGTTTATGAAAGCACGTTGAATCTACTATTCGACATACAATTTGAGTTGAATAAACAGCTGTTTACCCTTTTGTTACAAAATAATTTCAATAAATGTCCGAGATTCTTATAACATTGTGGTAAACGGCAGGACAACTTACATGCATTGACGATTCGCTGCGACGTTATTTTGCCCACAAACAGATATGCTATCTATAGCATTAAAAATGAGGTTTTCTGCATGCTTTTAGACACAAAAAATGAACGTCACCCTCATTTGTTTTTGCAATCAATTTTGTACTGCTTTTAAAATGATGTTTCACAATTTGAATGTCCCTTTGGTATTCTTTGCCTCTCTTTTGAAAGGAAAAAAAATCAATAGTATGCATTTGAATTTGATCTATAATGAATTCATTGTATTTGGAGAAGTAAAGTTGCTCAATTTGTAGTTTCAGCGTAATTTTGTTTGTTTAGCTTTTCACTTTTGCCAATGTTTTTTTCTTTTTTTTTTCTTTTTTCTCTCTGCAGCTTTCTGTTACCAATAATTGCATGGTTTCACAAACATTTTATCGAATTTTACCTTCAATTTGGTATCTTTCTTTGACGCTAATAAACTAAGGAACACTTTTGAAAAGAGAGTGTGTAAATTTTGCTATTTCTATTGGCAATGCATTGGAATACGACATTTGTGTTTTACAAAGAGGAGATTTCTCGTTTCGAGGAGTAAATACAGCGATTTCTTACGGATTCAACAACAAAATTAAGGGTGAAGGTATAAAGTCACATGTGTAGTGATATCAACAAATTAGAATTATTTAACCCTGTCTGACGTAAGCTCACAATATATACACAACCTGTAGTAAACACCTTGTAGCTGGTTTGTTATTTACTGTTAAAAAACATTTGGGAATTCAATATATTCGAGGTAAACTGTTTTCCATATAATTATAAAAGCTCAATTAACTATTTCAAGAGGACCACAATACTTCCGTTATTCGTTCAAATTCAGATGAGTACAGATTGTTTTAAATGGTTATGGACATTACTAACCACAGTTTAATAGTGATAATGACAAAGACAAATTATCTGCCGAGGAAACCACGAGCATGACAATAATGGACGATACAAGTTATCGAAAACAACGACTGTCGTAAGCAATGCATAAATAAACATACAATTAATTGAGGGTTTCGGCTTATGTTTGTCGTTATACTGCTATCTTATTGGCATTTACCCTATATTTCTTTAATTCATACATAGAAAATACTTTAAAGTCTTCATTTATAGGAATGGGATACCAAACAATTATGATGTTATACAAACAGATAAAAACATACAAGGGTAACGATTTGCTCAATGACACTGATAAGATATCTATATATCTATAAATAACTCATATGTATAAAACTATTAAGTTTTAATTCGTTTGCTTATGAAAATTGATATTACCCATCTAAAAGTGAAGTGCCTCCGGATTCTGGAATTGCTGTTTCTGAAAGAGATATAGTTCATATAAATTTATTTCATATTTGAGAATGTAGCTTAAACAAAAATAAAGGCACTCAAAAAAAAAGTTTACTTAGTAATGTTTTTTTACTTAAATCAAGTAATATTATTACTTCCATTGATTACCAATTACTTAATATGATAGGATAATTGTTTGAAATTACTAAGTAATTCTGAATTACTTGTATATAGTAAATAAATTACTAACAATTTTCAAAAGCCATTGTTTTAAGTAAATTTAAGTAATTTTCTGTTTGGTTTATCAGATTGATTTCCTAAGTAATTGTAGCAACTTTAATTTGAGTAATGTATATACTTAGAATTACTTAAAACTAGTAATGTATTATCTTTCTTAATCATATTCGAACCATTTAAATTACTTAGCAATTATCACTAAGTAATTATCCAAAATGTTTTGTTTTAGTCATGCACATGCAGAGGGTTTGACCCATCACACATGTTTAACCCCTCCATATTCTTCAAGTACAAGTCCCAAGCAATTAAGTCATCCAGGAGCCTGCAAGTATAATTGAGTGGTTGTCGTTTTTGCCGTTTCTCATATTTGATACTGTTCATTGTTTTGCATATATTTTGTTTTGGTGTTGTGCAGTTACACCACTGTATAGAAGAGGAGGGTTAGCAACTTCTAACATGTTGAACCCCGCCACATTCTGTATGTGCCTGTCCTATGTAAGTCAGGAGCCTGTAATCCATGTATTCATGTAGTGGTTGTTGTTTGTTACATGCTGTATATATCATATTTTTTATTCATTGATTGTTTTGCTTATAAATACAGGCTGTTAATTTTCTCTTTGGAATGGTCATTCCAGTGTCTTTTATAGCTTGCTATGAGGTATGACATGGGTTTTTGCTCATTGATTAAGGCTGTACAATGACCTATAAATGTTAATTTCTATGTCACTTCGTTTCTTGTGCATGGAGGGTTAACGTTGTCTCAGTGGCAATCATACTACATCTTCTATTTTCATAACGTAGATATTCATCATGTTCATTGATACAATGCATATATTAGCATGATTAGAACAACTTCTACTTATTTTATACTTATAATAATGATAATACTGTTTACATCTTTAAAGTAAATAAAGTCATGTCAAAAACTCAGTTATATTGCATCATACTGGTATTTTAATGTAATATGTATTAAAGAGCTATTTACAATGTACATGTATATGACATTATCTTTCAACCAACTACCTCATGAAAGTATGCATTTTTTTTTAATTTACAAACAATATAAAGACCCTTTCTTCTGTTTTACTACATCTGTCATGTCATAGGTCACTGGAATATGCACATTTTCATCTAATTTATATGCATGAAGAGGAAATGGTACAAATATACTACTGACTCTAACTAATTCAGTGTTATGTTCTTGTCTAGGTGGTTTCACAATATGTGACTGGGTTGCTTCATCAAAGCAAATTGTTTGGAACATTTTTAATTCAAAATAAACAAACTGTTCTAGATTTTCATTTTTTTCTTCTTGTGTGACCAAGATGGTACATAATTGTCCAAACTCGGGTAGACCATCACTTTTACCAAATGCAACAACACATTTCTTGGAAATAAATTTTTGACCATTTATAACAATCCATGAAACATAATGTAAGTGTTTAATACTGTTTATTTCAATTCCAAAAAATGCATTAAGTGTGTTTTTTCCTTCTCTTAAATCGGATGGTAGAGATCTTCCAATGTTTAATTCATTTTGAAAAATTGGATGGTAACTATCACTTAGATTAAGAGCACATTCATACATGGCTGAACGCTCTGATAAAGACTTTTCAAGATTTTGGAAGTTTCTGGAATTTCCTGCGCTTTCCTTCAAAAACTGGTGCTTGCTTTCAAAACGCATACACCATACACGTACAAGCGGACCATATTTTTCAATAATGTATGGCAGATGTCCCATATAATGCTGCTTTGGCATAATATTTTGGTCTGGAAACAAATGTTTGAATTGTCTAAGGTGACTCGGAATAAGAACTTTCAACATCTGAATTGTCTCCACACTTATAACAGGTGCCATAATTATTTGAACTATTTCACAAAGTTCTGTCAACAAATGTACATATTCATTACAACTATCAACATTTAATTGCTTGACCAAAAATATTGGTAACAAACGAAAGAATACAATCATACTTGATGATGACTGTTTCAAGGTCATAGTATCATCATCATCAAACAGTTTTTCTGGTATGCAATTTGGTTTACATTCTTTATGTTTATATCCATAAGGAAAGTTTTCAATTACATAATTCAACTGTTTAATTGTGCAAAGGCCATCATCAAACAATTTAGCAAGTACAAGTTTTGTTTCATAGATTACGACTCCTTCAAAAAGAATGTGCATGATGTCCTCCGGAATCATAGTGATCAAATTAAAATGAGGAAAGTCACGTGCAGTACTCCTTCTTGTAATGCCATAGGCTGATGATAATCGTTTTCTCATTCCAATAGTTTGAGCATTTAACATTTCTTCTACTTGCTGATCATACCTTGGTAAAGATCGTAGGATAAAGTTTTTCTCTGCAAAGTGAGCCTGCATAACATCAAATGTACATTCACAATGTCTACATTTCTGATAGGCAAATCCAACTCCTTCTTTAAAGCCTGCAAATTCATGGGCAGCAAGGGTATCTCCACAAAAACCGATCAATGCACCTTTTACAAGAGTCTGCTGTTCATTAAAGTTCATTAGGACACCACTCTCAAAAGCTACCAAGTCATCATTTATTCGTTGCAATACAGTATGCATTCCATAAGTTTTTATGTTTTTTCTTTTAATTATTGCAACTAAGCGTATTGATGGCGTTTTTGAACGATATTCCAAGGGTAAATTGAGCAAGCTGTAATAAAAGACTCCCAATTTATGAACTCCTGCTTTTTTTCCTAGTGGGTTGCAGATTTCAATGTCATCAAAATATAACAAAATTTGAAAAGCATTTGGATGAACACTAAACAATGCATGTTCACGGAAAATTGAACCATCAGATACATCACAATAAAAGTTATTATCAAACTGATGTGTTCTTTTATCAAATACTAATCTGTATATGTCCTTATTTTGCAACAGTTGCTCAATACTTTTACATATTGGTATATACCAAAATTTATCCTCCTTTACGTCCAAAACTCTTTTTTTGTTTCGTAAAACATACTTCAGTTGTTCACCCAGTACAACTTCTTCAGGTGCCTGGAAAATTTGCAAAAAAAGCCAACATGAAATTATTGTCAATAATAAATATAAGAAAAGTGAGAAGTTCGTATACATGTACTAAGAATAAATTAGTGGTCATTACACATTCTTACAGTAGGAAGATAAAGCACCTGATTACATGAATTCCATACTTTCTGAAAAAATGTCATATGCAGCTTATATTATCATGCTAATATGAAAATATTATTACGTTACTGTAACGTCGTATTCAAATAGAGTTAGCTGTACATATGTCTGTGTTGGTTATTTGTAGAATGAATTGCCTATATATAATAAGTGCTTCCTTGAATATCAACCAAAAATTTTTGCTTTGTCATATTGTTGCAAGTTTTTCTTCAACTACTAATTTTATGAAGTTTGAATCTCCCTTTAATACATTTTGCCCTTTTTTTTTTAAATATATATGTATGTACATTAAAAAAATTATGCCCTGATAGTAATAGGAAAACTTACCACATAAAAGTAATTCTGTTTTATATATTTCTGTCTAGCATATTTAGTTTGTAACCCATCAAATGGTAATTCAAAGTCATCAAACTGCTGTTGCAGTCCAGGAACAGTGTCTGCTCCAATTCCAGCTTGTTCAAGAGTATTTTTGATTTTATGTTGTAAAATGTCAACTGTTTGTCTTACAAAACTATCCACACCTGTTGCAACTGTATGTGCTGTAGTCTAAAATTAAATGAAATAAACAATTTTAGTCAAATGTCCGCTTACATTATCCATATACTACTAAATAAACAAATTCTAATTTGTTAGCCAGCATGACGTAAAAACGATGAATCAAAGAATTCAACTTTATATCATGTATATAGTACAACTAATATTTTTAAGATATTGGCCCCTGTCCCAAGTCAGTAGCTTGTAGTTAAGTGGTTGTTGTTGGTTCATGTCTGTCATATAAGTTTTTTTCTTAAATTGTTATGTTATAAATTAGACTGTTAGTTTTTTCAAATGAATTATTTCATATTTTTCATGTCAGGGCCTTTCATAGCCAACCACACTGAATGGGTTTTTCACATTGTTGAAAGCTGTGAAGTTGTCTCATTGGCAATTCTACCACATCTCCTAAATTTTATATCAACATTATTTATAGTGCTCAGCTGCATGTATCCTATAGTATAAAACATGTTCATTTAGAGTTTAACAACTGTAAATTCAGAAATTATTGCGATGTTTTTATTATTGCAAAAAATGCGACAGGGTTATAATAGCAATAATTTAAAGTCGCATTTTGAAGTTTTTTTTATATAAATCATGTAAATAAAACAAGAATCGCAAATATTAAAATCGCATGTAAGTTTAAATTTACAAATTCGCAATTATAAATGCATGCAATAATTTCTGAATTTACAGTACTTACTTCTTTAACACCATGAAATTCTTTCAGGTTTACTATAAAATTGATAGGCTTTTCTTTCTGGTGAAAATCTTTGTATGTTCTTTCTTCATGATCTTGTTCTATCACCTGTAAAACAAAAGAGTAAATATTCCACTTGTTCAAGAAGTGTAGTATACTGGGGTACCTTAAGATGAACAACAGTAAAAATGCTTGCCCAAATGATGATAACAGTAATTTATGGTGCATGACGATAAAATGTACACTTTCTCAGTCAGGGGACTTACTTAAATGAGTGATTTTCTAAATCACTGATTCAAGTAACATTATGTCCATCAAGGTTGGAAGTAATGGTTGTCTTTCTTTAATAATCACCTATTTAAGTAGTAAAAATTAATCACTAGACTAAGTGATTTAATTTTATTGTAGCTTTAAATATAGAATACTAATGATCCAGGGACTAATTATGTTGCTAAAATAATCAGAACCAACATCTGTGTTGATAGGATAACCGGGTCATGTCAGGTGATGACCTTGTACTAAATCTAGGATAATGACATAAAAATCACTTGTTTAAGTATCATACCTCAATTTCCTTCCAAAAAATCACTTCTTTAAGTATCATTATTTTTAATAACCCCCACTAATTTCAACACCCCCGAACAGTGAAATTTTTATCGCGAACAGTAGAATTTTATTACATAATCTATAAGATGAAACCTTGAATTTTACAGGAAAAATACTCACACTGTTGGGAAAAATCTGTTAAGAAAGTATCAGTTCATTATGTAAAGCCATTTTTATAGCATTTTTTCAACTAAAATAGAATTTGCAGCTAAAGGATTGCATCAAAGGCATAAATCTTGCTGCTTAAACATGTTAAAAGAAGCAAAAAGTTCATTTTTTCAATTTTACTAATGAAAAGATATTATCTAAACCTATGTGTTTAAAATTTTGGTAAAACTTTTAAAATTTTAATAACCGTAATGATTAAACAGTCTATGATTAAAAAGGCCTCATCAGCAGTTAATGCAGTGCTGGCATTGATGGGTATAAATTACATGGCAATGTTGCCATACCCTTCAAATTGCAGCGCGGCTCTGCTGTACATACAAGGACAAGTCCTGCTGGATGAAGTTCACAGCAAAGACAAAGGAAATTTTCGAAAACTTCGTTTTGAAAGAAGTTGATTTATTTGCATGAAATCAACATTGATGTTTAACTATGAGACTGACTTGTTTTATTTGTAGGTGTACCACATAATTTTTCATATTTTGGGATAACAGATTTATTGATTAGTTTATAATATTTAAGATACAGAAATAGTAACACACTGTCTTTTGCGTTATTAAAATTAAAATCTCCAAATAATCTGTTGCATTTGTGATCTTGAAAATGTAATTCTTAAATTAACAATTAAGCAGGTCTGTAAATGTTATTTATCCAAATAACTTACTTTGATGCAACATAATTCAATTTTTCATTTTCTTTTCTGCTTGAAGCATGTAAAAATATACATGAGCTGTTAAATTCATGTAAATAGATTTGACCCAAATTATTATTTTTATTTATAACATACTAAAAATAATATCCAGATTTAAAAAGTGCTGGGCAAAAGTAACAATTAATAATACAATGTACTTTTGGCATTGGCTTGTGAAAATGCATCTGCATTTGTACTTATTTTAGACAAGACTCAATTTTATATATCAAAATTACTTCCTTTTAGACTGCAAACCACCATATAACCTTATATCAAAGTAAATTTAAATAGATAGCATTTACAATCAGATTTTATTCTGTATGTTATAAACATATGTAAAATTTAATTATAGTTTTACCTGTATTAGAATGGTTTTATTTGATAGTGAATTTATATTTTATAAGTTGCAAATATTGTAAAAAGTTTTGTTTATGCCCATTTATGGGCATTATGTTTTCTGGTCTATGTGTCTGACTGTTATAGCTGTCCCGCTTCAGGTTAAAGTTTTAGTTGAGGTAGTTTTTGATAAAGTTGAAGTCCAATCAACTTAAAACTTAGTACACATGTTCCCTATACTGTAAATTCAGAAATTATTGTGAGGTTTTTATTAATGCGAATAATGCGAGTGGATGAAGATCGCAATAATAAGAACTCGCATTCTGATATCTTATACTTATATCTGTATGCAGATTTTCCTAAAATCGCAATAATTAATCTTGCATTTTAGTCCATCCTTCAAAAATCGCAAAAATAAATGCACGCAAAAATTTCTGAATTTACAGTATATGATATGATCTTTCTAATTTTAATGGCAAATTAGAGTTTTACCACATTTTCACTGAACATAGAAATTGATAGTGCTGATGTGGCATCTGTGGATAATTTGGAAACATTCTTGTTTTTGTATAATGTTAGGTTGCAACCTTTTGTGTTGACTTAGTATTATGAACATATTTTAAATGTTGCATTGAGTTGCAATTTGATTAGGCAAGGGTTTTATGTACAAGATACAAAGAGTATTTTCAAGGGCTATACCAAATACATTCTTTGTTTTTCAGACACCTACTCTTGATAAAGAGGAGCGATGAGAGATTTTTGTTTTCTTCTCAAAAATAATATTGTGAGAGCAAGTGTCTTTGTTTTAAAGAAAAGAAAAGAGGTATATTTTTTTAAGTGAGAGATAAAAATAAACAAATGATTTGTGCTTCATATTTCATGTATTTATGCCTTTATTTCAGTTCTTTAAAGTTTATTTTATAGAATACATTTTGGTTTGTTTTTTTAACAAATTCAGTTCACATCAATTAGTCTTCCTCCTTCAAATTTTTTACATAGAAATTTCCATGCTGCAGTTCTTTCTTGGGAAAATAAGTAAAAAGTATATGTCATGTTTGCATGCATGTAGGTGATAGTACTAGTATAGTAACATGTGCAAATCTTTTAACATATACTGTTGTTTTGATTTTTCTTGTTGAAAAAAATATTGTCTTAAGATATGAGTCTTGTGCTTGTATATAGTATACAAATGTATAGCATGGTAAATTTCAATGGGACCATGTACTTTTTGAATGGTATATCTAGGTGTATATACTAGCTTGTATTGATCATGTATTATCACAGTCAAATTATACATGCATGCATACTTATTGACTTTGAAATTTGATTGAAACTGAAATTTTGAAATTTATTTATATATGTACACATGTTTTACATTTTTGTGGTTTTGTCATTTAGATTTCACAAGTCACAGGTTTCCATGAAATTATTTTTTACTGTTATTCCTTGATAGCATTCATTGCTATAATGACAGGCTATAAAAGATATAAATAAGTTGATGACTATCTATAGATGGGCATAGAATTGTAAACTAAATTTTTATTCAGTGCTAATTTATAAATATGAAATATAGTTTAATAAAATGCAGATTAGTTCATCCATGCACATGGTAAATACAACATATATAGGCAGAAATAAGTTGATAATTATGTCCTTTAAAGTAAAATCCTTCTCAATTATAATGTTTTTGTATTATATTAATCTGCATGTCATCATTTTGAATGAGTCCATTTATTGTAGAAAAGTGAATACTTGAGTGTTTTATTAAAAACTGTTTGAAACTTGTAAAAAATAGTAGCTTAAATAAAAAGATTGGAAATATGTTTGTGTTCTAGTTGTAAATTATTTCAATTTTCAAAAAGTGTCTTTCTTCATGTATTACATATACATGTATATTTATTATGTCTTTTTTCATATTTATATTTTAGCAATTGAATTAGTAAGTTATTTATACTACTGATAAACATTGATGAAGATAAGTAATCTCAATCAATTAATTACTTGATAATACTAAGTAAAAGATTCAGTAATAAAATAAATTACCTAATTTCAGTTCTTAGTAATGATATTTCTAAGTAAAAGAAAAGTAAATTTATTACTTAGAATTACTTATTATTAACTGATTACTTAAAATTACTAAAATAATTACTTTCAATTACTAAACTATTTACTAAAAAAAAGTAAACAAATTACTTAAAATTACTATAATTTACTTATCTCGATCACCATGATCACTAGTGTGACAATTAATTTTACTAAGTAAAAAAACTGTTTGTAATTTTTACCACAGAAACATTTACTTAGTAAATGAATTACCATGTTTTATTAGTAAAAATTTTACTTAAATATTCAATTACTTAGTAATGCTTTTACTGATTGATTCATTTACTTTTACTCAGTAATTGATAACACAA